TGTTTTCGATGGCTGGAGAAACTGGAATACACATGCACGAGCATGGGGAGAACGTGCAAACTCCACACAGAAAGGCCTTGGCCCTGGCAGGGGTTCAAAGCCATTAGGAGATAGTGTTAACCACTGAGCCGCCCTGCTGCCACCCCGCTTTTGTTGCATTTTGAGCAGGATTTCTAAATCTCTGCCTCTCAATTTGGTGAAAAAGTAAAGAGAGAACCAATGTAGAAAAACAGCTTGTATTTCTCTTTTTAAAGCCTCTAGCTTGTTAGAGACTTGTAGCAAGGGAGCTCAAATTGAACGGATTTGTGTTTATTCTAACAGGTAAGCTACGTAGCTGCTGCTCTGACAGCTAAAACACAGCCTGTCTTAAACAGCTTTTGTAGCTTTGCATCACTTTGGCAGCGCATGTGTTGGCTCAGGTTGTTTTTCACCTGTTGGAATGTACAAGAATCATTAGTTTTGTTTAAAATCCAGGGTTTACATTTTTTTTAAGTGATGAAGGTTGTTGTAGATCTGACAACTAGGTCACCTTGTGCAAATCAACACACAGTTATCTTCTGTAATTTGTGGATTCGGGCTGTTTTCACTGTAAATAGTCCAGAGACAGCACTGGAATGCTTTAATATCTGATACCGCTGATTAGCTTTGACAGACAGCCTCTCCTCAGACACTCAGAAGATTTGGATGCCTTTCTGAAAAGCTCACCAGGTGAACCGTAATTCCTCCCTCTTGTCACACACACCCCAAACAACCACTCATCTGCTTTCTTTAATGTCTGTGGAGCTGATAGGACACGCTTCTCCGACACGCTCACAGCCCAGTCATCCCTAGCTGTCATTAAAGCGTAAACCTCTACCTGAGGCTTTAATCCTCCTATCAGACAGGACCTGGACTTCCCCAATAGCACAGCTCACTAACCTGGCAGTAAGCGCCTCAGGACATCTGCAGATTTTGACTGGCCCCAGTGCACTGCATAAAAGAGCAGCACATTTTCCAGCCTGAAAGCTGGGAAGTTGTTTTGTTATTAGGTATGCAATGGCACAGTTCCCTGAAAAGTTGAAAAATGTCAGTATTTTTCATGCTTTCCGTGGAACTGACCTTATACTGAAGTGTGGAGACATGCTAGTTTGGCACGTAAAGTCATCCTGAGGTTGCTTTGATTTCTGTTCATTATTTATTTCATGTATATTTGTGAGTGCTTCCTTTGATGTTTGCTTTTTTATTGAGGTTTTCTCATCTAATGACTTTCATTATTTCAAATTTAGCAGCATGAAAAACACGGCCATGAAAGTGTAATATATTTTCAAAGTGTTATTATTTGGGTAGAGGAGGAAAAAAAAAAATTCTGCTCTGACACTGAGTCAGAATTCTAGTTTGTGTTCACAGAAATCTCAGCCTTGTTGAAAACATTTTTGACATGATACAGTATGGAATAAAGAATAAAAATATGCAGCCAGCTACCATGTTTCTTACAGTACATCCTTTTACAGACAGCAGCGGGTATATTGTTTTACATAATGTACATACGAGTACCTCACTCGACAAATTTCATATGAATATTAACGACTTCATGCTCAGGGAGGTGGATTACAGGTGCAAAACTGTAAAAAGCAATTTTTCACCATTAAGCCTCAAAAAAAGATCCGTGCAGTATCAAGTGCAAGAAAAGACCAAAATATGTCATACTGTAACATTTATAAAAGGTTACAACATATTAGGAGCTCAGTAAAATCATGTCTCATACCAAGTGTGCATCAGTCGATGTGGCTTCTAAGTTTTACATGTTCCTGATTCAGTCCTCCTGTTGTACAAAACACATCTTTATGCCCTGATTTACACGTCTTCATGGCAACAAGGAATCCTATGTCAGGATAATATAAACAAGAACGTAACAGCTTTTATTTTTTCAGAATCGTTTTTTTCACTTTTCACTTTGACCACAAGAAGACAAGTGTCAGTCACTAGCATCCTCAATATTAACCCTCAAACAGTTTCTAATTGTTTTAGTTTTAACTCAATAATGTTTTTTGTGCACTATAACCCTAAAAAAAGAGAAAAAGTTCAGTGTTTATTACCTATTTACAAACTCTGGAGAACAAAATCTAATTCACATGTACCACATTTTCAAAGTGCCCACAAGTGTTGCCAACACTGGAAAAAATAAAATGGTGGTAGATATTTAAATCTATCCAATGTGCTTTTTGTAAACACAGCCTGCAGTTTATCCCAGTTCAACTGAAAAAATCCTGAATTTTTGACTGTTGGTCGCAGCGAAATCAGTAATAGCTTCTTGGTTGTGATGAGGAACACTGATTTTTGTTTTGTTTGTCACTAATTCTGGTTGGAGCAAACACTTCATTTTCACTTTAAATGAGACATAATATTCCAACAGCATGGAACATCAGAGATGATTAATTCAAGGAGCATTGGAAAGTTGAAAATTAAATGATTCTTTCTGCTTTCACAGATTCCCGCTCCAACAAATGGTGTTTTGGGGTTTAGAGGTTTGAAGATGATGTTAAGGAGATGAACTCTTTTATAAGTGTAGTGGAACAGAAGCTCGAAAGAAAGTCGCTGAGCGCAACAACAAACAACCAGGACATGACATCTTACCTGTGTTTGACACTCATAGTGGCTTTAAAAGCTCAACATTCTGCAGCTCTGCTTTCCTATAGCATTGTTAGATTCAGTGATGGACAGGTTTAAAAAGGACAGTGACATCACTCGAGGCAACCTGTCAGACTTTACACAGCTCCATCTGGAGCCACAGAAATTAGAACTCTCTCCACATATGCAGCCGTACTCACAAAGACCCGTAAACTGACTTTGATGTGCAAAATCGGTGGCGTTCCTCTTTAAGAAGATGCCTGCTAATAGACAAAACATAAGAACATTGAGACATTCATCAGTCTGACAGCACATTTGCAACATAATGAAACACGCTGCAGATACAGAAATGCTATTGCACACGACAAAAGCAAAGACATTTTTGAAGGAAACATGTATGTTTGCTTGTGTCCTTTGCATTCGATTATCTTTTGTGCGTTTGCTTCTTGTTGCGTCATGTTACGTACCGTGTGTGCTTTCAGACTGTTGAACGTGCTTCTCAGTTTGCTTGTATTGTGTCTGCTTGTAATTAGTTTTGTTGCAGTGCACTGAACTCCGAAGGCCTCTGCAGATTATTTATGAAGTCGTTGTAAATCTTGTTCCAAAGAACAACTAAGAAACAGACCTCATTCACTGAGGTCTTCGTGGAAAAAGTGCTGCGCTCAGCTGCATTGTCAGGTTTGCAGATTCACATTAAAGCAATGCGCCTCAACCTTCACATACTGCTGACTTGTAAGGTACACAAAGAGAGACTTTATATACAACTTTATGTATACTATTCAAATTCGTTCTCCACCGAAGTTCTCCGCGTAGAAACGAGTAGATCAGTTTACCCATTTCATCATTGAATATTTGTTCAGTGTCTAAACTGTCTTTGTGCATAATTGCTGCATTCACAACACTCCTTCCTTCTAATATCTGCATAGTTATCAGTGTTGAGACTGTAGGGGGTACATAGCATCATTTCAAACCTCATTTAACACTGAACCGTACCCCTTTCTGAAGCTCAAATTGCTCACCATGGAGCGGCAGAGTGGCTCCAGACATTCATTAGCTTAATGAAAACAGGCCACTCTTCTTCTACCGCCCAGCGAGCGCGTTCCCGATGTAGCCGCAACCACCATCTGCTCTCGAGCTCCCTGCCAGCTATAGGATAGTCCTGTCAAAGCAACTCCTGCGAAGAAAGCCGTCCACAAAGGTGCCTTAATCATTCAGATCAGAGGACGGGCAAGGACAGTATAGAGCTACTTTCTTTTTTTTTCAGTTTCATCTCTGCGTCCCCCCCCACTCAGTGCCTCCCTCTCCTGGTTGATGCATCCACTCGTGATGTTAATGATGTTGGTGAAATAAGCTGAGTGCGCAGTTATTGGAGTTGAGTTGCAGCAGCCACACACAGCTGGCAGGGAAGTTATTAGCCGCTCAGCCACAGTGGGAGCGGCTGCTTTGTGAAAAGGTTAATATCATTTTAGGGTTGGCCGGAGTGCGATGTGGTGGTGGTGGTGGTGGTGGTGGTGGTGGAGGTGGGCGGCTGTCCACCTGTTCAGCTCCGGAGGTGGTCTTCAATGATCTCATCCGGCAGCGAACATTTGAAAGTCGACACATTTATTACAATTAGGCGGTAGAGGCGGTCTTTATGTTTGGAGAAGTAATAAATGAAGTTTTTTGTCCTCATTGTCTGCTCCCGTGTTCATCAGAAACTACCCATCTGACTAGGGTTGTGTTACGAGCTTCACCTCTCGGATTAATCACCACTAATCTCAGCAGTGTTGTGCCTGCAACAACCCACAGCTACTTTTCTCAGTGTGAACACTAGCTGGTGCACAGTGAGAGGGAAATGATAGTCAGAGCCCCGAGGCTTGAATCTGATAGTTTGTCATCTGGATAGTATTACTTAATTTCCCACTGGGAAGAAACTCATTATTTCTGACTTTATCTCCGCACTGACCTCTGGAACAGTCTCGGGAATGTTATTGGTTTGGGTACATTTTTTTCTTTTTTCTTTTTCTCCCCTCAACACGACATGAATGACCCTAAATGCCAATAAGATGCATGGAAAGGATGGACACATATGTAATGCCGGACCGCAGATGAGATTCACCTTTAATGTGTAGCACACATTGTATTGATTTATTACAGGCTACATTACAGCTTTTTTCTCACATGATGAATGGTGAATGGAATGTGAGATTATATTGATAGTAAGATGACAAATGACCAGCGAGCATCTTTCACGGTTAACCTTTTCTCCCTAAGATCAAATTCCTTTTACATCCCGCTTCAGGAATATATGTCTTCAAAAATGAATCGCCTTTTTTTCAGCCCTCTTCATACATATGTTACAAGCTCTGATCAGGTGTCTAATTGCCTTCCTTTTTTTTCCTCCCTTGTCACAGTTTAATTTTGTAGGGAAGCTGCTGGGACCGCGGGGGAATTCTATGAAACGATTACAAGAGGAGACAGGAGTGAAGATGTCCATTCTTGGCAAAGGGTCCATGAGGGATAAAGGCAAAGTAAGACATTTATCGATCTGTGTTGAAATATAGTTGCCCGGCTGCTTAAAGACAAATATTTACAGAAACAGAGCACTTGAAATTCCACCGAAGAACAGTGGAATACTTGAACCAACACCATCTGAGCAGTAACTGAGATGAATGACACCCAGCGTAGAATTAATAGCTTTCACTTGACAAACATATGTAGGCGAAAACGGGAATGTTTTCCTCCGTGTTGTTTAATAGCATATTCTGTAATAGTCAATTATGAATGCAAAGTAATGAATCTCTTCGCCAAAGTCATTTATCCTGCTGACTTGTGGTCCCCTGGAGCCAAACTTATCCGAGCGTGTTCGCAGACAGCCTGCTGGATCTGATATTCGCGCTCATAACAGGTCTCAGTGTGTTGCTATAGAGTTACGTAGCTATTATTACTGTAGCCTGTGATTCTGACATGACAAAAGGCTCCAAGTCTTCTATCACTTCTTTGGTGAAACTGGAGCTGCATTTCAGTACATCAAGAACGTAATGCAGATGATGGCATTAGAGTGTCTGCAATCAATAGTTTTACCAAAAAATGTGGAAGAATTTCCTTATATAGTGATGAACTTACAGAGAATTATCTCCTAATTTGCAGTTTCATGGAGTCTTTTACCATAAAGTGATGAGTTTCAGGCTGTTGTTTAGCTGTTCAGCCAAAACTTTACTGTCAGTTCACTCTTATCCTTCTCATAACTTTGATGGCAACAGTTTTGCTCAAGACCACAGATTAGACAAACTGTGAATTCAAAAACAACTTGAGCAGCATTTAGCCAGATTGATAAAGAAAAATAAAATGTTTAAAGAGAGTGACTATTGAATTTACATTCATCAGCAAGCCAGAAAAACAAAAAACTCCAATTAAAAGATTGGAAACAGTGCTATTGATATGTCAGTGTTTATTTCACAACTTCTTTTTCATTTTTTTCCCTGATCAACAGTTTTTACAGTCATTTTTGAAATCAGTGTTTTGACAGATTTTTGCCCTGTTTTGTTAAATTACACATAATAACTCATAAAATCACTGACAACGTCTTTATGTACCCGTTAATCCTAAAAATTTTCACTATCTTTAAATCAACAAAAATATAATTTTACAGATTTTGGCCAATATTTGAAAGAGAAAGCATGTACTGTATATTAAGCACTGAAAATTGTAAATTATTCAAAGTTTGACAGATTTTCCATGTTTGTTAAATGCCTGGTAATATCCAGTGAAATCACAAAAAAAACACAAAAATATAATTATTTTACAGATATGATATGGATATATTTCACCATTTTTCAACATATTTTTGTCTGGCATTCTTCCAAGTAATCAGCATTTATTGATTTTTTTTGTATTATTTATTCGTGTTAAGCTGCATCGAAGTAGCCAAAACCTAATTACTGCAGTTTGAAACGTATCAGTGTAGCTCTGATCTTTATCTGTGCATATTAAACGCAGTCCATTTAGTAGCTTTGCTGCTTATAGGTTTATGTATTTATTCTGCAGCTTAATGCATCATATAGCCTGCGTCTAGGTGAATGGCTTAATAAACTTTCAAATGGTCCAACGAACATCGTGTTCTCTCTCTCTGTGGTATCCTGGGGCTTTGAGCCTATCCCAGCTACACTAGGTATAGGTCAGCAGTTACATTTTATGATAATTCTGATAATAAATAATACACACACAACAAATGCAGAAGTCTCTTAGTAGAGACACAATCAAATTATTTTTACAGAAACAAGCAAAATTCATACTTGCTGGCTTTAAACTAAACAAGAAACAAGGATGATCAGCTGAAATCTTCACCAATTTTCATTCGAGCTGATCTGAAACTCCTGAAGAGCCAGTGAACAATCACTGTCAGGGATCTGTGAGGGGGAAAAAAGAGGCTTCAAATCTCAGACCTTTTCATCAACAGGAGTGTTACAGAGCACACAGGCTGACATAAAAGCAAACTCTTAAAACAAACTCACCCAGAAGCGTTACTTCGGCTCTCTTTCTTATCTTGTGTGCTTGTTATTTTCGAGCTCTAGGTGCTTTCTTCTTCTTCGGCAAGTTATTTTCGCGAGGTCGTGATGATGCTCCGCTCATGCGAAACATCAATAACTCCAAATTATGAAGATATGCGACTCAATAATAAGTTTGTCAAAAGCAAGAAAAGTCTCTTTAATTAAAAATCAAAGAGAAACTTTAGATTGACTTCAGATTGATCAGCAGATGTTAACAAAAATCACCAATGAGATACATAGTTTATTCTTGTTACTGGGAACAGTAGTTTACTTATATGTCGATGCAAACATTCATATCTTTCACTTTGTTTACAGCACTTTATCACTGTACCAAGTTCTAAATCTTTCACAGCATCCAACTCTAAATTTATGGTATGTGCCTGTGAAAGGGGCAGTATCTTCTTCTGGTTGACGAGTCAGCTGAATAAACCTTAAAATCCCCCCAATAACCGTGTTGCTTTGTAATCAGAAATGCATATGCTACACATGGATTTCTATTCAGACCTAATTGTGAGACTGAAAGTCACTGAGACGTTTCTTCGGCATCACATTTTTCGGATGCGCCTTGGCTGGTGCAGGAGTTCATTTAAAATTTTGGCCGACTGCCACTAAGTCCATTGAGTTTACTCATGGGCTACATAAACTTTTCTTCAGTGTGTTAAATTAAGTAAAGAGGCACTAACATGTCAATAACAGCCAGAAACATAATGGTTTATTTACCTGCACGAAGCATTTACGTTGGCATACTGCACTGAACGCACCGTGCATCATGACTTGTTTATTATTTACTACATGACAGTAGCACTAACATGGAAATTCAGTCTGAGGGAGACAGATGCTGCATTCAGGCTGCACAGAGGACAATAACAGTTGACTCTTAGCAGCAACGGCTACATAATGGTCTGATTTAGCTCGGTGTTTTCTGTGTGTGCTATTGATTTTAGTGTACAATCTGAGCAAGTCTGGAGAGATTCTGTGATGAGGCTGACTCCCAGAGGTCATGACTGAAAGGCTGGCTGCCAGTCAGGGCAGCTGGCCACAAGGCAGTGTCAAACAGACACAGCCAAAGTCCCATTACATGCAAAAGCACATTGCCAGCACACATTTCCACCACCTCATCCAGTTCCTCAGTAGGGTGCATCAGTCCTGCAGTCGGGTAATATTTCAGGTTTGGAAATTTTACATCAGAACTGCTCACCCTCTCAGACCATATGTTCAATATTAGACCTTGTGCACAAGTGTTGGTCTGGTTAACCTGGTGCTGAGTCACAGAGCTAAAATAGAACCCCCTTTTAACCTCTCTGGATCTTGAGTTTTACTTCTTAAATTTCTTATTCTAAAGTCAATAAAATAATTGAGATTCCTTAGACAGGCATGCAGCAGTGATGTCATCTGAGCTCTGCGTGTCTGTTAAACATTTCAGTAACAAACCGCTGAAACAACCGGCAGACACAATTTATCAGCTCACAAGCACGAAATCTTAGGTGCGATTTTTTGAATAAAGCCGACGTCTCCCAAAGGATGGAGAGTGTCCCTGTGATGCAAGGACAAAAGTTTGAATCCCCTAGATTGGCTCATGGAGTAAAAGGCGTGATTGGCATCCTCACTTTTCATAACAGCCACCATCAAAGTGTCCTTGAGCGAAGCGCTCAATAACCCAGCTGTTGCAGTGTAGGATGAAAGAATACGCTTTTTTTTTTTTTTTTAAACGCTTTAGTCAGTCTTTATTCTTGCATGACTGAATAATCTCCACATTGTTCAGAGCGCTGCAGCAGCATTCATAACTTGTTCAAGTACATCTCCACTCCAGGTGTTACATCACTTTTGAATATTTGCTAAATTGATTTCACTATTCAGCTGGTTTGAAAATGAAAACTGTTGTCAAGTTATATTGCGGATATTTTAGGCCTTAAAGCCAGTCCTCCACTTTTCTCATGATCAGACGTTTGTGTACCTCAGTGCTTCATGCAGACGTGCCTTAACTCACTGCAACCTATTCAACCTGAGCATCTGCTTTCTCACATTTATAATTTCTTCTCTGCCTGTTTGCTGTATATTCAGTGGGGCTCTGATGCTTTCGGGATTTTTAGACCTGATGTTTGCTTTCATTTCATCGTTGGAGCACTGGTGTTTGTACAGCTCATGAAACGTGTGTCGCAGAATCGTGCTGTGAATGAATAATTTGAGGGATATTTAATTTAAAGTACTTATTTTGCTCAATTGTAATGCTAAAACTGATAGTGTGCAGTGAGAAGTATTCGAACATTCGTCCAGATATGTGAGAAAAATTCAGACACACGGTTTCCTCATTTGTTTAATTTTTGCCATTTTAACAGAATATTTTTAAAGCTGGCAGCTAGTTATTTTTGAACTTGTGTAAAGAGGATGGTGCCTGGACTCTGCAGTTTCTCTCAGCTCTTCAAAGAATTCAAGCTTTGAACTCTGTTTTGGTTTTATGGACCACAACTTTGCTGTTTTCATTCACTCTCACTGCTCTCATCAACTCACTGTTTGCTACCTGCTCAGCATCAAATGAAGCCAAATAAAATCTTGTGAACCACAACAGAGCTGAAATGAGAGCAAATATTTGTAGACAGGAGTATGTTTCCTGATATTTGATGCATGTCCAAATAGGCTTGCTAACAAGTTCGCTGCATCGACTTTGTAACATACAGTGTGTGTGTGTGTGTGTGTGTGTGTGTGTGTGTTAGTGTTGTGTCTACAGCTTGTTCCTCCAATTAGCCAATAAAAATCTGATTATGCTGCTTTAAAAACAGCACAGACAAACTGTAACTACCTGTCATGTTACTGTATTTGTTCAGCACCATTTGTAAATCTAATGAGACAAAGGGGAATATGAAAACCTTCCCATTAGCCTTACTGTTTATGTATTTGGGATGAAGTGTAAAAAATGTATAGGCAATGTAAAACAAAAAAACAAAAAAAAACAGAGAGGCACTGCAGCTGCTGTTTGTCTCTGTCATGATGATGCCTGCATCATATCCCTCTTCTTTGTCTTCTGTCTCCCTCACAAACAAACGGATCTCACTGTGCATCTGTTGGTTTGTTTAAGAAACTTGCCATACCTCACCTGTCCACCAGGTGCCCTCAGTGTTGCTTGCACACCTGCACGTCTGCTGCAAATCAGTAGAATGAAAAGATTTAAGCTGTTCTAGCATCTCAGTCTAAACCTTTTTTTGGTCTGGCAATGTCAGGGGTCTTAGACATCCCAAACTGCTTGCTGACTCATCAGGTTGATATGAAAAGTTTGATATTTACAAGTGAAAATCGTTCCAGTGGATGCTCATGCCCAAGAACTGATTATCACCCAGTTTATATACATATGCAGCTGCTTTTATGTAGCTCAAACGATCATAACATGTAAATACATATAACTTTATATGCACCTGTGGTAATAGCAAATGTATGTCCTCGTGAAACACAACATCTGCATTGCCATTTGACATGACATTTCTACAAACATAACATCATGGTATCATTTCTCCTGAAAATTTCAAACAATTTTCCTTTTCTAAATCATGAGCTTCAAAACAAACACCTCACCCTGTTATATAAATGAGCTGAATATTTATTTGAACACATTTGCACAGGTTCTTCTTTTACCAAGGCCAAAGGCCGTCTGAATTATGCTTAATTAGAGGGCCAAGTAGTTGTTGCGAGCCAGGTGGCAAAAGTGAGCTGGAAGTAGTAGACACTCAAACTGAGGCAGCCATGCTAACTTTGTGTGGAGTCCTCACAAAATGTTGTTTCTGCATCAGCTGTTGTGATGTAAGCATTTGCAATAATCACATCACTGGAAGTGCAATGAGAAGGAAGGCAAACTTACCAACTGCTTGGTACAAAAACAGAACTCACATTTCTGATTTTACATGACTAATCTCCCCAACAAGTCTGTCTGATAGAACATAAGTGACTCTAATTTAAGGGTTCTTGGTGGGGATCTGAGGTGACTTTGTACTGATTGATATCAGTAAGAACCTAAACCTTATCCTTTGTTTGTGTCAACTGCCACAGATGTGTTCTAAACTTCAATAATGTATGATGTCTAATATATGCAGCAGTGCCAAATCAATTATTGATAAATTAACAATACACATTCAGTACACTCTATTGATTATGCTGTAATTTTGCACAATGATCGAGGAACATTAGAGAACACTGGAAAGAAAGAAAGAAAAAAAAACTAAACTTAAATAGTCGATAATCAAATGTTCAACAAGTGAGGCGCTGCAGTGAAGTCAAGAACCTCATTTTAAGTTTTTGATGCAGTTCAGTACATTAGCAGGAATGTAGAACAACATGAAAGTGAAAACAGTGCTCTGTATATTTAAATGTGCAAGTAAAATACAAATATTGTGTCTCTAAAGTTAATGAATTGTGATAAATAGGTTCTCTGTAATCTCAGTAACAACAACTTAAACAATGGTATTATCATTTTGACCTCAATAGTGTAGCTTTAGTCATCTGTATGGAAATATTTCTGGGACATAAAGAATGATGTTGACTAAAAACAGGTTTTTCCTCAAAAGTGCCTTGCAGTTGTTGTCACAACAGGAGGCAATACAACTAATTTGTTTGACGATCTGAAGGCCATCTCAAGCAGAAAACTATTCCAGATGACTTTGCCACTGGAAGACGAAATGAGAAAGTTTCCACACAAAAACAGTCTTCACAGTAAAAAGTCATTATTCAGCTTTTTTTTAAAAATTAGTTTCTTACTTCTGATGTAGATGGCCTTCTTACAAAATCACCCCAAACATTCTGGCGTCATTAAATCTTTTTAAATAGTTATTCAAGTCATCCGTTAAAAATTTCTGTTTATTTTTCATTTTGCAATATGTGCCTGCAGTTGTGTTGAAGCTGGAGAAGCAGTCAGGTTTTATTTATATATATACACACACACACATATATATATCCATGTAACAATATCCAGACAATGAGCAACCATTAGTAGACTGAAGTTATCCAGCTGTGGTCAGAGGTATTCAAGCACAGATCGACAATTTTGATTGCCATTTTACACAGTATTGCGTGAGACTAACCATGCAATGTACTCAGCAGGGGTTCTCACTCACCGCTAACAATTAAATGTCGACAGATTTATTATTCAAATTTCAGCTGAGATTGCTAAGTACTTAACTGGAGGTGCGATGCATGCTTTAGCCTCAATGTAGAAGTCAGTCTGCTTCATCTCCAGCTGCACTGTGTTTTTTGTGTGGCTGATATTTTCTGACTGCTGCCTATGCTGTTGATGTTGCCTGGCTCTTTTCACTGCATGCCTGTTTGAACACTATAGGTTCTCTTGTATCAGTCTGTGACTGATGTCTGTTTCTGATACAATACTTTCAGCTATTGTCTTCAACTTTTTCATACATTTTTGAAGAGACTATCTGTCATTTTCTCCATTTCTTTTTCGTACAAATTCTGTTTGGCCCAAGTGCTCTCCAAATCATTTACAGACCATCAAGATGACTTGAACTATGAGCCATGTCTGGGTCACAAAATTACAATCCATTAAAACCTTTTTTCCAGAAGCAGCGCCTGCAGAGCATTCTTCACAATATCAACAAATCACAAAATGCAATTCCTATATCAGAAAAGCATTCAGCATCTCTTGTGTGAGAATTTATGACTAAGCTCCCTTGCCTGCCCTGTTATTCTTGTATTTCTTTTTTCTCGGGTTGTCAGATGAGCGGTAATTACTCTCCAGAATTTAAGTTATTCCTCGCAAGCGAGGAAAAGGGAAAAAGGTCACACATCATTCTGAAATGTTTTTGTACGAGGTACTAGTGTCTACCTGGTGATGAATGTGGTGATTGCTCAAGTGTCTCCTTATCTTGAAACTAAAGCTTAAATGTTCCTGTAGGATGTAGCCTGCACGTCGAAGAGATGCTTATGAGGAAAGGAGGAAGAAAAATCTGAAAAAATGATACTTTAGCGGTACCTTGGATTAACATGAAGGTCTGTGCCAGTCAGCCCTCGTCTTCAGAGGTGACCCAAGTTTTACTCTTGGTGAAAAAACACAGAAATGTGAACAAACTGCTGGTGTTTACATCAAAATGAAACCCAACATATCACAAATACACTTGATTTAGCTAATTTTGCAGCAGCAATACACTATTTTTATGTGTTTTTACTTGGTAACAAAGCAAAACATCTTCAATCAGTGTGTGAGAAGTTGAAATTTGCCAACATCAGCTCTGTTTACCTGTTTACTACAATTAGCATAATCATACCAATACTCAATTACGCTAATCATTTCAATCTCGGATTATCTTTAATAGGAAAAAAAGTCCTTCACTTGTTCCTTTTTTTTTTTCACAGGAAGAAGAATTACGGAAAAGCGGAGAAGCCAAATACGCCCATCTGAGCAACGACCTACACGTTTTAATTGAAGTCTTCGCTCCACCTGGAGAGGCCTACTCTCGCATGAGTCATGCCTTGGAGGAGATTAAAAAATTTCTAGTCCCAGTAAGTTTATTTCTTTCTACCCCTTTCTTTCCTCTTAATCCTAATGCCTCTGCGAACATCGGTCATTACTGCGGACTTCATTCCGCCACCAGGCTTATTGCCACAAAGCAGACAAGTCGGAGAGTTTACAGCAACCAGCGTTTGTTTAGAGGAAGATACGAGCATGAAGTTTTCCTCTGTTCTCCACTACATGCCCTTACTTACAAATGAAAAATAATGTATTCAGCAATTAAAGTGCACTATGGAACAACTTGCAAGACTCCAGCAACTTATAGCCCGGAGAACTTAACATTAATTAATGTGCATGTTGTGTACTCTTGCTGAGTCTAAGCTGTAAATATTAATCAAGCTTCGCAAATGTGACAAGCCTAATAGAGGAGCTGTGCTGCATGAGTCTGCTTTATGGAGTTCATGCTTCGTCTTATGCCGAGCCAATGTTCTTACAAGGATGTCTGCTCACTGGGCCAGGAGGATGATGATACGGCATGCACTGAGCAAAACCAAATACAGATTCCTTAACACAGTCTGCCAAAAAACAAGCAGGGAAGTGCAGAGCTATTAATCTGTTTCTGTGTACTAGCTTTCAAGATAAATGCCTTAAACATATTGAAAAAATACTTCATGGGCGCTCTAGTAAAAGCTAATGTTGTTTGTTTAGCTGTTTGTTGGTTAACTGGTTTAGGCTTACTGTAACATTAGTAAAGTGAAAACACAATCAAGTTGTGAGTCCAAATTCAAAAAAGATGATTGTACTTGTTTTTTTTTTGTTTGATTGGTGTTTTTTTGCATTTGAATTTTTTTATATCACCCTCGGCCACAGCTGTCGTCATCTTTGAGTATGGTTACCATGGTTATTCTGTTTTATGGAGATGTGAGCGTCAACGGCTGAGTGTCCGTGTCTCTTTGCTCCGCAGTAACACCACGGTCAGACTCCGCTCAGTCAATCCAGTTTGTCATTTACAAGTACCGAATCGCTCTCTACTTCTATCCATCCTGCTCAACTAGCTTTAGCATTAATGCAGCTACAGGCTCTCTGCACTGAAGAGCTGCTACATGATTCACTCACTCGCTCACTAAAATCCTATTTACTGTTAAGGTTTGGCTGGACAAGAGATGGTAAATGGTTGGATGACATTAATAGAGTTACCCAGTTTCTTCTGTGGCCCTGGAACTGACGGCAACGAGAACAATATCTGACTGAAAGCAGTGTTATATATTTCATCGCATCATCAGTGTTGCATTTGCAGAGTTAAACTAATATGCTTTCTATAAATGTTTGCCTTCATGTTTCGCTGCTTCCTGTTGCACTCTGTAGATGAGTTTGGCTCAAGAACAGCCACATGACAATAGTTCCTGACATGCTACATTTTTTTGTATATAAGGAGCTTCATAATTAACAGCAGCACAACAGGTCAAACTGATAAGATAAATCCAATAAATGTACTGCATGTACTTGACCGTGAGCCACAGTCAGTGATTACACAGATGTTGCAACTCACCGAAAAACACTTTACATTGAAACAGTGGTTCGTTCATTTGTCTATTCATCTGTCTTGAAAGTTGTCATTTCGCTTTTCTGTTCTTGTTATTGTTAATGAAAAATGTAAACCATTTAGTCCCCTTTCTGAAATACTACTTTTTAAAGTTTTAGTTTTGTTTTCTGTGTGAAAAATGGGTTGTTAACGAATATTTTTCATCAGTTTTTGCTGTCAAACTAAGAGTTAACATTCATTTATTTAATTTTTTGTTGATGAAAAGAGTAAAACATTCCATCATAAGTCACAAAACATTCATTATTTTTTAGTTTTCATTTTATTTTCGCTGTGAAAAATGAGTCCATACATATTTTCCATCACCGTGTTTCTGTCCTCCATCCAACACATTGCGCCACCATAACATGTTCTCAATGTGGCCGCTTCTGCTATTTATCTCATCTGGTTTGTGAAAAGCCTCTGAAATCTCCCATTACAGGCTGGATTTATAGCAAAGCCTGTAAATGGAGCCAGGAGAAGGTGCAGAAGTCTAGTTTTCTATCAGACCGCTTGAATTACAATATGCTAAAAGGTTAGTGCAGAATTTTTTTGCTCAATGATGCCAAAAAATACTGCCCACTGACAAGGGTTATTTTCTGACTCTCCTCTGAACTACTAACACACTTGGAAAGAAACGAGAGAGCAAAGTCAGCGATCTTCAGTCCACTTGTAGGTTTATTGCAAGCTGCACAGAGAGAAAAGCAAACCGAGTTTGTCTGGAAAGGAGCTGGGATACAGTTCTCAATCTGCACCGCATGCATCACAGAATCCCTCCATCAGTCCGTGTGAAGCTGTCGCATGAGGCATCATCCCACTTCCTTGTTGTCAGCTCGTGTGTGGCTGCCTCCCCGTAAACCATCTTGTGATTGTCATATGCCCTGCAAGCCTGTGTTTCTGTATGTCTTGTTTTGCAAGCAATGTCGCATAAAGCTTCACGATGGTGTGAACACGCCGAGTAGTTTCCAAGAGGACCGTGTTACAAACTTGGTGCTTACTCAATGATTTCATCATTTATCAAACTTTCAGATACATGCTGTTCTGACATTTCACTGTTCTGCAACACGGACCTGTGCTCCCAGTATTTCACATGAACCCTCCCTATGGTTTCCTTCTATCTCCTGATTGCGTGTTATCAATACATTTTAGCATGTGTGATTCTATATTCTCATCTGCATGTTAAACATATGCATATACAAGCTTTAAATGGTTTTATTTGACTACATTTTTCCTGCACTGTGCCCTGCTCTAAGTGTTCTCTGCTCTGGTCTGCTGCGTTTTACTCTGCTATCCAGACCAGCTTGTTCTAATAATGAAAGGGTCAGCGACTACTTTTCTCAGGTCAGCAGGAACTTTATATATATATATTTCATTTTTTACATTTATATATTGTATTAACCGCAGTGTTACTTGATGCTTGTCCAAGAACATGAATACATCGCTGGCAGAGGTTCAGCGTGAGAGCTGAGAGAAGATGAGATATTGTATTGTAAATTACTCGTATAGAATTCCTGCCACATTTTCTAATTAGAGTACACGCAGGACTCGCTGTTATACTTTTTAAATGCGTGCACGCGTTCAATAGGCAGTAACAGTTTAGGCTAGACAACTGTTCAAATCTTTTGTGAGTATCTGCCAACAGAACTAATGATGCAGGGTAACTAGGAAGGAAACAATTCTGTACGATTTTATGAAATGACAAAAGGGCTGAAAATCATTACTCCGGATAAGAATGCCCTGTTTTGTCATGTTTGGGGACTCTAAAACCAGTTAGTGGCAGGTGGATGGGAACAATAAAAACCTTCTATGCTGATTTATTATTAGAAATGCTAATCCAGGCTGAAAGCATGAATATTAGGGAAAACACGTCATTTTAATTAACTATGTTTTGGGGCTTAATCGGACATTTCTCTCCGTATATTGCCTCTTCACGGTGAATGAGGTAGTAGAGGTACAAAACATTACTTTGTCTTTCACATGTCAATACAAACATAGAGAATAAAGACAACACTATCTATTTTACAGCACATGCTCGCTGCCTCGGGGATAAGGATTTAATAAACAGCTCTTAATGTAACACAACAGGCATCTGTCAGTATCCATAGTGACAGATGTTTCCTGCCTCTGGTGAAAAGTGCCAAGTGTGTCCTGCTGTTTGCCTTTTATTTTATTGCTGCACTATGCATTAGGAGTTGTTTTGTGAAAGTTGTCAGAGTGTGACTTCATTCAAAGCAACAATAAGGTTCTGGGGGAGCGACACCTGTTCGCAGGTCTTGAGGTGTAGCCGCACATATGTGGAAAAAGTTGTATGAAGTCTTCTGTGGCTCCAGGTGGAGCAACATGATGTCTGATATCTGAAGTTGAAGAATACAAGCCTGAAAATAAAAGAAACAAGCGAGCTTACCTCTGCTATGTAACCTGCCGCTCATCCATGCCTGGAGCTGCAACGAGCGTAAACACACCCGAGTCTCCGACAGAACTCCAGGTTCAGTTTTCACCCCTGTTTGACCGTTGGTATTGAGAACGTTGAAGGAGGACAATTCTATTCAGCTGCTCTTTTAATGTACCACACATTAGCTTGTTGTCAACATATAAAAGGCAAAATGTAGCGGCGGAAAGTTTACTCAGGAGAAAACTGACTGAATTTATGATCCTGCCACAAACCTGCCCGATTCGAGCAAGCTATCCCCTGAGGAAAACTACCACAGCTCCAGCAGTCAATCTACCCCCGCTGGTGTGACATTATGCTTCAGAAACCAAACTAAACTCAACATGAGGCAGCAGACGGATTCACAGAGACGTGGAGCTGTCTCCCACAATGCCACATGTGCAGCTGTGATTTACGCTGCTGGTTGCAGCTGCATGTTTGAGAGCATGCGAGCTTAATGATCGACTTGTGCACCTCTCTCTTCTCTCAAGTGCAGAAAATCAAATGTGCTCCAGTCTTCTACCAACGTGAAATACATCTCATGTACATTACCTCCACGAAGTCTGAAAATAAATGTCTTACCACTATAATTTAGCAAAACCTTCTCGCTGAGCTCCCACGAAAATAAATCCGTGTTCTGTTTGTGTGACGCAAAAGGCCGTCTGAAGTGGTTCATAGACATGTTTTTCTTCCGTGTAAATCTCAAATGAATCATGCGAACAAGCTGTATGGCCACTTCCAATTAGAATTTCTGATGCATAATTAGTGTATGTTTTGTAATTAATTAAGTCCTGAGCAGGAATAGAACACGCACGCCACCGAGGACTGCGGTTTGTCTGACTGTGCATTTGATGAGAAGAAAAGCAGCGAAAATCTGACTACGGAAATCAGCTCTGAATTATGCACCAAAGACAATAAAACAAATGCAACATAATCGGCATGCTGCTGTAATACAGACCGAGAGTGAGAAGTAGTAGGGAAGGACAGATGATCCTCCTCTCAGCTGGGTGAGCTTGTGGCCTTCATCCTGGGCCAGACTGCAG